GTTAGAACTTGAGTTTATGTTAGATTTATTTTTGAGAGAACTTGTACTAAACTCTAAAGAAAAGCAATTAAGCTCGTGACTCCAGCAATTAAGCTCATGACTCCCGGGTGGGGGGCACGAGCAAAGGAGCTCCTCACTTAGAGCTGGTGACCATGAAAAAAGTGACACTGCGTCACTTTTTTTAACAGTGTCACTTATGTTTTAACAAAAACAGCATTATTTGTGAAATTTTGAGCACACTTACAATGTCAATGGAGACAGAAAAGTGACATAATGTCACTTTTTTTAATAGTGTCACTTATTTTTTAACAAAAGCAGTATTATTTGTCGAATTTTGAACACACTTGCAATGTCAAGGAATAATGTCACCTTTTTAACAATAACTTAAACACAAATGTCACTTTTTTGACAGAAAAGTGACATAATGTTACTTTTTCGATAGAAAAGTGACATAATGTCACTTTTTTTAACAATGTCACTTATTTTTTTAACAAAAGCAGCATTATTTGTGGAATTTTGAACACACTTACAATGTCAATGAAGGAAGAAATAATGTCACCTTTTTAACAATATATTGCCTGACTATAGCTTTAAAGACAATAGTTTCTTGTATGTCGAAAAAGTGACATAATATCACTTGTCCATTAACCAAATGTGGATCCAATGTTAATGGAGTATGAATACATTGTCACATGCACATACTTACAACAAAGAATTTTTTAACAAAATCCATCAAATTCTACTGTCACTTTTTTCTAACAAATTCACATACACAATAAATTTCAAAATCGACATTTAGCTCAAAATATTTTTACAATTCTTAGAATATTTGAATTGAAAAACGAACAAAACAAAAAATATCAAATAATCTAGTTTCATATATCTTCTAACTTCATTTTCTTTTGTGGTTTCTTTTTCACCTTTGGCGGATTTTGACATGATCTACGATTGTGACCATAATTCCCACATCTTCCACATTTTGCGCTTTAAGTTTTCTCTCCTTTTGATGGTATTCTTTTTTCTTTAGGTTGTCTAGATTTTTTTTTTGGGTTAGGAGCCAAGATTATTCTTGCTCTTACCTCATCTGGTACATTCCACTCATTATGATCTCTTAGTGAAAAAATTGATGCACTATATGTTTGAATATACATATTTGTTGTATAAAATACGGAACAATATGAATATGAATCCTCCTTTATCTTTGCAATAACCGCAAGTGCATGTGCACATGGAATCTTGTCCACTTGAAAATGGTTGTATGTGCATGTTCTTTCTCCCATGTTCACCAAATATGAGGCACAACCATCATTAACTTGGTACAATATTGAACTTGAAGTTGATACCTATATGCATAATATAACAAAATAATCTATCAATAAATTTGTCACTATTTTATATGAAAGGAAGATTTAAAGTGAAAATTCAATATAAATAGAGGATACAAATCATGTTACAATAGAAATCTTAATGTGCAATAACAAAACAGCAAGTTTATAACTTTTTTACCTTCATTTTCTTTGACTCCAAAGAATTTTTTCTCAGTTTTTTCTCTTGCTTGGTGGCAAGTATTGTAAAGGTTGCTCGTGCATCATTTATATGCTTCACAAACCATTCTTGTAACAAATATCTTAATGATTCCAATAAAGGCTCTATTGGACAACCTTTCATTGCTTTTGTTATCGAATTTACCAATTCAACTATGTTTGAAGTCATTGGAGAAAATCTGTTGTTTGTCATGTAAGCTCTCGACCATTTCTCATAACCAATATCTTTCTGCACAAAGAAAATTCAAAATATTAATAGAAAAAGTGACTTTCTATCATGTTTTGGACTCACTTTCAACACATACAAACTTTTTACACAAAAATTGACATCATGTCACTATTAACAAAAAAAGTGGCATTCTGTCATTCTTTGGTTGAAAAGTGATAGAATGTCACTTTTTGTTTAAACTCACTTTTAATAAAAAGTATCAACACATACAAATTTTACAAACAAAATGTGACATATCATGTCACTATTAACAAAAAAGTGACGTTCTGTCATTCTTTGGTCGAGAAGTGACAGAATGTCACTTTTTAAACAAAAAGTGACATCAATTATTATAGAAGTTAACAATGAGAATATACCAAATGTGATCGAATTTCTGCATTGATTTCATCAAGTTGTTTCATATGGAACTCAAAATCAGTCTTAGAATATACTCTTACAGCCCTATTGAAATGATATCACTTCCTTCTTCCCCTTTTTTTCCCACCAAAAGAAGACTTCAAGTTCTTTAGTAAGTGATAGGAATATAATCCGTGCATTGCATTCTCATACACTTTGTGAATTGCATTTTTTATGCTTGCATGTCCATCTGAGATTATACACAAACCTTCTCGCTCACCATATGCTTCTTTTAACATACTTAAGAACCACTCCCAAGAATCATTGGTTTCTAAATCACCAACTCCAAATGCTAATATAAAGATACTTTTGTTGGCATCTTGCGTACATGCAGTGAATAGTGTTCGGCCATAGTTGCCTTTTAAGAATGTAGCATCTATTACTATAACTGGTCTACAATACTTCCACCCTTGAATAAATGCTCCTAATGCCATGAAGAGGTACTTGAATTTGTTGTCCTGATATGTCTCAATTTTTGTAAATGATCCAGGATTTGTTTGTTCTATCATGTACAAGTATTCTAGAAGCTTTTCATATGACTCTGTAGGATCTCCTCTCACTAATTCCAATGCTTTCTCCTTAGATCTCCAAGCTTTCTCATAGCTCATCGACACTCCATAGGTATTCATCATGTCACTTATAATGTCTGCAGGAGTGTATGTTGTTTTTGTTGAGATATACTTGTACATGATGAATTCTCCTACTATTGAGCTGGTTGCTTGAGGATGATCTCCCAAAATGATGTTATTTGAGCATATATGGACATTTTTTCTATACCTTACCTTGAACATATCGGTTCCACCAAGTCTTGAAGCTCTAAAAGTCCATTTACACTTATCATCAATACATTTCAACACATACTCTTTCTTGTTCGACTTACTTACCTTGAATTGAAAGTTATTGTGTATCGCATATATCGAAATACTTCTCTTAACCATTGTCTTGTTCTTGAACACTTTATCTTTTGAAATTCCATCCATAGTGACCATTGAAATGATATCACTTCCTCCTTCATCCGTTGTTTCTCCAACTTCAGACATATTATTGTATACATCAATCGCAATTTCTTCCATACTAGGTAATTTTTGAGCTGATGTCACAGAATTATCAGTTACAGCTTCGCAAAACTGCAATTGTAGCATATCATTTTTTTTCATAATTGACAGCCTCCAAACATTGTATATTATTAACAAATTCAATTTCGTGACTTTTTGATACCGTTGTCACATTTATGCACAATGGAAAGCTTGCAAGATCTTTATCCTTTCTCTTCAACTCCAAATAAAATGTTAGTGAAATATCATCTGAAATCTCCATTAAAGGCATGTTTTTCTTCACTCTATATTGTATTTTTACTCTCTGAGTTGATGCACTTACTTTCATCACAGAACATATCATGCACTCAAGGTGATTGTACGTGCAATCCATCGGGACAACAATTCCAGTCATTTTGTCACTTGTGTACTCATTATCTTGTGTCCACTTGCCTCCATAACAAATGAAGACATTGATTTTATCCATACCTACAAAAATATTACAAAGAGATTGTATGAGTTTTGTCTTTTTTTTTTAAGTGACCAAGTAATATGCATCTAATTATTTGGCCAAAAAGTGATTTTGTGACTTTTTCTGAAAAAAGTGACAGTATGTTAATTTTTCGCATTCTCCTTCATCAAACACCATGCATGCATCAATGTACTTGATTCAAAGTTTTCTTTTTCATGTTTATTACTAGAAAACAGGGCTTGAATATGTATCTTAATAATTCCAAAATGCTTGACTATTTTTGGAAAAAAGTGACAGAATGCCACTTTTTTCGGAGAAAAGTGATAGAATGCCACTTTTTCGGAGAAAAGTGACACAATGTCACTTTTTTTGGGGGAAAAAGTGATAGTGGATTATATGAGCAAACACATTTGCATCCATGTAGTGGATTCAAAGTTTTTTTTTTTATATGTAGTACCAGAAAATAGAGTATGAATTGGTATGTTTAAACTTTCAGAAAAGCACGCGTATACATCCGGTTAATTGCTCCAATGATAAAGTGTGACTGAATTGGAGAAAGGTCACACAATGTCACTTCTTTTTTTTTTTTGCCCGTACAACGCATGAGTTTTGTTATTTTTAAAGTAATATTTGCGTGCCTGCATAATTGATTTGGAGAATCATCAAATTCACCATTCATCTGATATTCGACCTTTCAACTTGTAAGATGGAGGTACTGAAGTAAATAGCAACAAGAAAAATGCTCAAAGGCAAAATGCGTAAGTGTACCTTCAAAGATTTGGGATTCCTACCTCGGTCCCGTCCTTCACGCATTCTAACAAGCTTATCCTGTCATTGCCGAATTTGGGGGGCTGCAAGTGAAGGAAGAGATCCCGCAGAATAATACAAGAATAGCATATATAGGCTTCTATTTTCAGAACATCTTTCCAAAATGGCTTTAATAACTTGGCACTCTATAGCATGGATCTAACTCTCTCGTGAGAGTTCTTTTCATCATAGCAGGAAATGTGTCAGATCAAATCAAATGGTAGGATGCATTTTGTTGAATTCAACATATCCAATAGTTAAACATCAGAATCAATAATTTCAAAATACCAACAACTAAATAATACCTGCATAGGGCAAAATAGAGAATTGATTTTGAAATTTACAAGCAGCAAAAATAAAGGCCTTTCTTAAGATAGGTTGCTTGAATGCAGTTGAGTATCACAACAGAATATTAACAATTCTATGTGTGCAAGCATATAGTGACATATCTGTGGATGCAATACCTGCAATCTCTTTAAAACATAATACCATGAGATCGGGCCGCACAGAGACCTTCAATTGAGCTTAAAGACATGCTTATCTAAAAATGAAGATTTACACTACTGAGATATGTACAGAACTACATGGAGAATGCTTATAGCCTCTTAAGTGAAGATGATCTATAGAGGATAGCTAAAATTTAATGAACTCTATAAACAACCTAAAATTTCCAATATACGGTAAACTCAACCGACAGAAATTTTGTTGATAAATAGTGCCAAGGTATCAATTTGTAACTTAAAAACAAATTCATCATGCAAAGATCCAACATTTAGCAAGCTGATACACAACATATTGTCAATTGAAAAACAGATTACCATGCATGCACTATGATCCATTTCAGAAATTTATAAAAGGTATGAAAACAAGTGTCAAATGCAGACTTGTGTAAAAAATAGCTGATTTAATAAAAGGGGTTAATAAATGCCTAGTTTTGTCCTTACAGTATTTCTAACTAGACTTGAGAATCCTTGGATGACAAGAGAGATTCCTCCAGTAAATGCTGCAGCATTTGCTGGATCTGTACCCACGAAAACCAATGGTCACAAACATGAAATAACGTTACAAGACTTGATATGCAATTGCAAAATGTATGAAAAAATTGTAAACCAAGATATGCTTATTTTAATTTTTTTTTAATAACGTAGTACCAAAGATTTAAAGATGTTACCAGCACAGGAATCGTAGCCCAATACCAAACGCTCCAAGCCTCTCGTTAGGCTTTGTCATGTAGTCAAGAAAAAAATTCTAAAACATTTGGTTGTTAAAGAACAAAGAACCATTAAATGAGGTCCAGAACAAGAAAGCAATCATGATAAAGAAACTTAAACACCATGTGAATATTTAAACCTGGCGTAAAAAGGTGTAATTGAAAGGATCATAAGCAAAATTTTCTAAATTAGCAACAATCTTCTCTTTCGATTCTGCACGAACAAGAATTAATCAACATTGAAATAGCCAAGCATTCTATAATAGTAAAAAAGAGAAAATTACACTTTAGCTGCTGTAGCGCTGATTACCTATTTGATTTTGAATACCCTCATAATGGAAAACAGAAAGTAAAGCAAAGAATCATGAAAAAGAAAAAAAATAAATGCAAAAGAGCAAGGGATCACATAAAAAAATACTACAACATCATATTTGATCGTGTTTAACAAAAAATGTTCTCTGTATTTTTCTAAGTTATACGTCCCAACCCCGATTCATGAGAGTGAACTAACATCTCCACTTGGATTCTAGTTCATTTACAGTAAATCTTCCATATCAATGACAAGTTTTCATGGTCAATCCCACGCAACCAATTTTATTGAGCTGGGTTATTAATACAACTGGGAATTCCAATATCAAATAATGGAGAGATTTTGCATTCAACTTGTGCTTTGCAATTAAATTAAACTAGCATCTAGGTGCATTTGTTATGCATTTCAAATTACTGAAAGTTGTGTTGGTATACACTGGACCATAATACACGTCATAAAGCAATCGCAATGGACTACCAAACTCTTGTCGTAGTATTCTTAAAAATTGAAAGAATGATAGTAAATCAAGGGTTTGCAGCATCATGTCCATAATTAATCAAGTTGAACCTACCATACAACTTTCTAAACTACCAAACTAAGAGATCCATGTTCTCCTATACTCTAAACCAAAAATGAGAAGAAAATATTGAAGCAGAACAATTCAAAAATGTTATAAAAAGTTACTTGAATGAGGTTTGATAATACATGCCTTCATTAGATGCATCCTGAAATTGAGAGACTAATTCTAAAAAAACAAAAGAAGATTTCCCATTGAACAGATACATAAATTGTGCAAAATATATTTGAAGTAAAAGGACAAACATTTATGTAATTTGAGTGCAATGGCATGGCTTTACCTGAAAATATTTCATTATGGGAGTTCCATATTTCCCAGGCACTCTTCTTGTCTCTGAGCATTGGTGAACATGTTGGGTGCAAGAGAAAATGAAGAAAGAGTGATTAAACTTTCATGCCAACCAGTGTAACAGCAAAATTTTATAGACGTGGCATTTCCAACAAAGTTTCTCATATCAGAAAGCAGAATTTTTGAATAGCAGAATGATCACATTTTGAAATGTCAAATAAGATATTCAAACTAACATGGAGGGATCATCTGTCTAATGTTTCCTTTTAATATCATTCTATTTAATTCTAGTTCCAAAAATTTGTGCAACTCAACCTTCAGGCAAACCACTTGAACAAAGTTGATAAATTCACCAGTTAAAAAAGGTTTAGTTGAGTTGAAGAAGAAGAATCATGTTGACATTCCTTGACCAGTTGAACATCAATATAGAATACACAAGACACTATCATGTACATTACATAAAAGGTCACAAACTAGAGCAAATTTGATCATGTGACACTTAATTTCAAAATATATGGACCACCTACACTCTTTGCTTAACTATTTTTTGTCAATAACAGAGAGATAGGTAGATGGAACGTGTATCTGTGTGTGTGAGAGAGAGAGAGAGAGAGAGAGAGAGTAAAAAACAGGGTGACATAAAGCACTAAGAATTACTAAAAAATGCATGATGACACATGGAAAAAGAGTAAAATCAACAATGGGGATTACAAGTTGTGCAAGAAAAGATCTGATGATAAGCTACTAGTTCTTGCAGATTTTTAGTAGAATCTAATTCTACATTCCCATTCAAGTTCATGTCTTGGTTGGTTTTGTCGCCATTTGTCTGAGGGAGTATCACATAAGCTTCACAAGCACCAGCAAAATACAATTTCCCATGGAGGATCCACAACTTGAAGCAGACAAGTCTTTGGAGCTGTGAAAATACAAGACAAATATTAAGTTGCTATATTGGTTTATATAAACCACTTGTCATTCCACAATAGCATGAGTACCTCAACAAAGGCATTAATAATCATCCCAGAAACAGAGCTGTCAAGAACATATATTGAGGGTACTTTCAACTAGGACTCCATATCAGTGATTGGCAAAGGGATGTACTGAGTATAACTCTACATCAAAGAGCTCGATGACAACAAGAGGAAAATGTACTAAAACAAAATGCCTTGTCGTATAAACTGTCTGCTACCAAAAACCTCTGTGTAAAACTCATCGTGCCCAGTCTTACCTACATTTTACCAAGGGCAATCCCCGTGGCCAAACTGACTGTTGGGGAAAATTTATATAAGGGGCTCACAACAATCCTGCAGAATTTTCTTGACTAAATTGCAAAATAACTTCTTACCTAGCACATTTACCAATCAATTCAACATCAAATACTTAATATGTGGGTCAAACTGAGAATTAAAAGAGTAAGTATAGGAAGAACGTTCAATTGCTCCAAGGGGCAGTGGCTTGAACAATATATTGTTCAGCAAGCGTGGCTATGGCACTCGTAAAATATTCACTTTGATAAGCTTTTTCGTCGATCATTATCTATCACATCTCCAACAATTTTTCTCACATATGAATTAAATGGCAAATGATCAACCATTCTGAATCCAAATTGAGCTTGAACTTCTAAAGACAAATAAATAGCACCCATTGAAACAATCAAAATAAGAACATCAAACTCCTAAAGAACTTCATTAATCATCCAAGATGCGTCAAAAATAGAAATGAATATTTTACAAATTCAAGTTAAAATTCAAACTTTTAACATAAATTGATCACACATATTAGTTGTGTCGCGGAAGCTTGTTCCAAGGACCGATCGATGATTT